CAAGCTTATCAGCAAATTTATAAGAAAATATTGATAGAAGTCGCATTCATCGTTATAAAGAAAACAGATTTTTTCGAACAATTTCACATAGGTAAAATATTTGTAGCATTTGATATTTGAAAAACACAATTTTCCATTTGTTTCTATAATATTGGTTACCATTTTAGAAGTTATTTAAAGTCTAATCTAATTAAAGAATTGAATTGGCACAACCAAATTGTTGTATGTGAGCTTCATGATAACAACCTGCTTTAAAAGTATAGCTTTTTATATACTCTTTGGAACAATTATCGCATTTAAAGCTATACTGAATCAGATTCAACGATATATAGTAAGCGTGCAAACTGAACAATCTAACTGATTGCGTACAAATGAATCTCAATTAAAATTAATTCAAAACATGTACTGAGTATTATTTACCGAGTTGACATTCGCGGGCGCTAACACATATATGCACACACACACACATATATATATATACAAGTATGTGCATATCAGAAATATGTCACGCCACAGATTGACACAGATCTCTCTCGCATAAGAGTCTACTTGTATATTCTGCCTGTGGTTACAGTTGGGTAGAAAGAAAGGGAGGGGAGAGAGGGGCTTAGGTCAACTGATCACTCTCTCACGCCTGCTAAGATATTTTTGTGACGCACCCAGCCGAGGGCTGCTGGTGGATGGATGCATACGAATACATACATATATCAGCATCAATTAATTTGGTATTCGTGATTCTACTTAACATCGATTGACCCCAACAGATTAGTGAAACGCATAGTGAAGACTGAGCGAACGAAAGAAATGAACTTTGCATGCCAAGGCATTGCAAGAACATTCTTTTCAGCGTCAGTCCCAGCTGTATTGTAGAAATTAATTCTCTCCTAATAGTACCGAGAAAACTGCAGATTGTGGTGGTGCTAGTGGCGCTCAGTGGGTCGCGCATTTTTGTGACGCAAATTGTCAACTCTTTGCGCTTGTTTCGCCTTCAGTATTTATTTGCTTGTTATTTATTATTTTCTATCATGATTTTTGCCTTAGCACACATATACACTGGCCGCGTCTCAATTGTGTGTTCAATGCCAGCTCCCTGTGGTTGTACCCCCCTTCGAAAGTCCACGCGTTTGAGTTTGTGGTTGTGGTGGCTTTTGGTTTTGGGGCACCTTCATCTGGGCTATCGCTATCTCAACGTTTAATTGGTGCGATTTAATTAAAATCATTTGCTGCCACTTTATGCCTCTGCTCACTGTCCACCCCTGTCCACCGCTGTCCCCAATTCCCCACTCGGACCCCTTCATCCATCATGCTGTGCTGCATCAATTTCTTGCTCTGCTGTGTCGGTGTTAATTAGGCTCTCAGATCACTTCAGAGCGGACTATTACTTGTATTGTTGTCATAGTTGTTGGGCGCTGAGTTGCTCGATTTGCTTAAATGATTGATCAATGAGGCAATTGTTCATATGACCGACAGTTTAGAAGCTCTATGGCGATCGCAGCCGGCGTAAGATTGGCCCGATTGACAAGTTGAGCAATCAGTGCGCGCTGCTCGTTGGTTTTGTTATTGAAAATCGCGTTATTAATTGATAAGTAAATAATATATACACAGATAGTTTTATTTATGAAGGAAACTATTGCATAACAATTTTGCATAAGAAAACTGAAAGAGTTTTTTCTTTAATATTTAGTTTCAATTTATTTATAAGGAAAGCTCCGATACAACAGATATTCACGCGTCAGAGCATGCCGCTCTGCATGGGAAAAATTCGTTTAAAATTATTTTTCAAACAACTTCAATGGTGGTGGTTTCTATACAGATCCAGAGCTCAGCTAATCCAACTTATACATATATATACTGGAAACGCTAAGACATCAATTTTATAAATTGTGTGCTGGGCTGTTGTTCATTTGGGCATAACAAAATGTGTCCCTTGCATTTTTATTTCTAACTTTTAACTGCTAACCTATTTAATTGACTTATAATTGGAGAAACCAACACACGCATCCCCACTCACATACATATACTCTCACATTACTTGGCACTCGAGCATATGCACAACTAATAATTTTGTGTGAGGAATTCCTCAAGCGCAACATACAGAGAGCCTGCAACAGCAACAGCAATAGCAGCGAGCGAGGGGCACAAGGATCGCAATCACATGTGAAAAGGGCGAATGCGGTGCCTGTGCCCATTCCCCTGCTCTAGTCCGACAAGTTACAGTTGAATACGTTTGCGTTTTTGTTATGAGGAAGGGTAAAAGTAAACTGCGACAGAGGAAATTATGCCGCCCGCCATGTTGAACTTGAAATAGTAATTGGCAAGGGCACCTACATACTCGTACTCCTCTCCGAACATGTTGACAAAATGTGTAGGGTTCGGGGTTCGTCTGTGTCTGTGTGTGTGTGTGTGTGTGCACCGGCTGTGGCTGTGTTTTCTCAATTGTCAGCTGTTGGTTGACTGGTTTTGGACTGTGGATCAGGGAGACTATTGACAGCATACATTTGTTAAATTCATTTAGTCGAAATTGATGAAGCATTTAAATAAAGAGTGAGTTTTGACTAAATATTTGTTTGCGATTGTAAAAAAATGCACGATAATGAAAATTGTAGAAAAGAAATGTATCTCATTTCACAATTTCTACATTACATCTAATAGTAATACAACCAAAAGCAATCGGTGTATTTCTAAGTTACTTGCTTTAAGTAAGCAATAAAGCAACTTGTGTGCCTATTATCTGCCTATTTGACTACAGTTTTACGTTGGTATTAACCTAAAAACATGCGTGACCCTGCGAGATGAACTTTATATGTGGCAATGGGTTGATCGTTAAGTTTCTGCCAGAATTTGGGGCAGACAACAATGGTTTTGGTATACTCAAAGAGGATAACCATATTTGACTCAGTTGCCTCGGACGACAAGCAAAGATATATATTGATTATCCATCCATTATCTGTAAGTCTCCTTGTGGTACTGTGGGTATTATCCAATCATAGTTTTCGCATTGCCTCCAAAAGCCCTACATCAAAATAGGAGTTGTGCTTTGACAAAATATTCTAAGGAAGTACTGAAAGGAGTAGTCGAATTCGTCGCATAGCTTCGGCAAAATTGTTTCAAATTTTCGGTGACTTTATTTACTTGCGCATCGACGATTAACAGAAAGAAGGGGCATATACAAGTATACACATTTGTGCCTTGAAGAACTCCGAAAATAATGCAGTAAAGTATGCAAGAAGTTGCGTGTCGTGTCAAAGTGTTAAATTAATAATTTGTCGTAAAACGAATAATTGATCAAAAATGCCAGAAGACATTGCGAGTACGTACGAGAAGAGAGCTTTATTAATTTTTGTATTTAAAACATTTCAAGCACTCAACACCTCAGACTCGTCGTAGCACCAGTAGCAATGATCTCAAATTAATGCTCGTCCAGTAGAAATAATGAGGCCTGCTGCCGAAGCAGAAGGGCGCGCATGCGCATGCGCAGCTTCGTTTTGTTTGCACACGTAAGTGAAGTGAAGTGAAGTGGAGAGGGGTTATGTGGAGTGGAGTGGATTGAAGTGGGCTGAAGTGGAGTGCGATTGGAGTGGAGTGGCGAAGTGCGACGAACGCGCGCATAATCAAGGCATACCATTGCCGATTTGCCTTGCTTTAGGCCGCTGGCTGCTGTTGCTGTTGCTGCCTTTATGATTATTGTTATTATTGAGTGTATGCCTGCAATTCGGACCAAGTCATCATTAATGCGGCAAGTACGTCGATGTCGATGCTGATGTTGATGTTCAAGTCGATGTCGATGTCCATGCGTTGCATTTTGGTAACCAAGGCAGCAGCCAAGGCAGCAGTAAAATAAAATGAAATGAAATATAATTAAATGTCGTTGTTGTTGGTGCGTAGTTGGTAGCGCTCGTAATTTGGTAAAAATTCTTGAGCGAACGCGCAGAGACAGCGATGCGTCGTCGTCGGCTATCGGCCAACTGATCGCATACCAAGCTACGTATTTTGTCAACCGGTTTCCCAATAGTCTCCATCTCGCTCTGTTCTCCTCTACCCGATATTTCGCTTTCTTTTTTCTTTTTGCTTATCTGTGGCTATGTGGCATCTTTAAATGGAGTTTTTTCGCACTCGTGTGGTAGTCGGGCAGCGGCTGGCGGGTGGCGGACAGTGGCCAAGAAATGCTGACTGATTTTTAATTATTTTGCACGATGCTGCGACAATCGCCATCGTTGGAAGCAGACGCAGGCCGAGCTACTTCAATCAGCAAGTTGGCCTTTCGTCACTTTAATATTGAAACACTTAATCACAACTTTGGGAAGGGCCCTGGCCTGGCCAGCATTTGTTGCAGCTCCTTGCTGCCCTCCATATGCACATAAATGGCAAAAGTCAAGAAATTCAAAAAATCTCATACAAATTACCAAAAGCAACGCTGCTCTGCCCTTGCCCCTTCCCCGATTCGAGTGAGTGAGAGCGAGAGAGAGAGAGAGAGAGAGAGACAAAGACGAAAATGATATTTGTACGCGTAAATGCTGAATACCACATGCCGCATACCACATTCTGGTGTTCGCTCATGTCTGGCTGTCATCGTCATCGTCGCCGTGATCATCATTGTGATCGCCACCGTCGCTGTCTCTGTCTCTGCCTCGGTTTTCGCTTGGGAATTTGTACTTATGCCTTAACATGACGATGATCGCGTTGCGGTCGCTTCTGCTGATGATGATAATTAATAAAAGCCAACTCAAGAGCATAAAAACGGCCAACACCCAATCACAAAAACGCCACAACTGGGCAGCTAGCCAATGGTAATGTCGTTGCGGGAGCTCGTTTTGCTGTCTGGTGTCGCAGCTGTGAGCAGAAAAAAAAATCCAAAACTTAAAAAACTCCACAACCCAGACGCGCAGACAACTTTAAACCAGACATAATCTTAGACATCGAGGAATGCCAATTCTCAGCGAGACAACGACGACGACTCAACGAATGGCTTGTTGACTTGTGGGCTATTGGACCGAGTAGCTATGGCGCTGGGCAGCGCTTGGGTTGTGCAGCGATTAAGATCACAAGATCTGGGTTCCAGCTTCGTCAGTCGTAAATCGACACCTCGTCAGCGGCAGACATGTCAGTGACAAGCAACACGACAACTGAAGTGACAGCTGTACAATTAAAGTTCATGTAAACCCAGCGCTGTGGGGCCCTGACGCTGATCGATGCTTTCGTGGGCAACAGTTAAGAGATTAGCTTAATTCCAACGATTATTTCAAAACCTCAAGCTCAATAAATAGGTGCTATAAGCTTTCAAATTAATCAGATGGACCCAGATTACATGCAGAGTTTTCTATCGGCGTTATACGAATATAACACTGCCATTAGTTGTTGCGTAGAAACCATTCGGTTCCGACCACAAAGGTCTACGATAAATAAAACCATCACATGTTTCGAGAGGGTTCGCAACTTAAATGTGCAACTAAAAATCGTAAGAATACGAATATTATTATGCTATGCTTTTCATAGGAATAAATTATATAGAACCACTATAAGACTTATCTTTAAAAGTGCAACTATTTTGCCTAAGCTTTATAATATATATTTTGGTATATAAAATCTTTGCATGTGAGGCAGTCAACATTTTTGTTCTGGTATTTTTATCGGATTTATTTTGCTAAGCTCAAGACCCCCGTTTGTATGCTCTTTCTTGCTCTGTGGAAAGTCGAAAGACATCCATTGGGCAGCTATAACAAATCAAGTATTTGTATTCTCGTCACGCAACGCTGACTGAAATCGAAAACAACTGATTAAATGACAAAAAACAATTAATGCCTGCAAATCAAATGATATTGCAAAGGACAACAGCAGCGCCATGGTGCCAGGCAAAACGATTTATAGCCCTGTAGAATGTGCAATACATCAGCAAAAATCAGCAATGGGTGGACGAGGAGGGACAGCAGCAGGCGAGCAGTGAAGGATCATATGAAAATCGCAAGAGAAATCGTTCTTTGATTCAGAGGAGGAGCAGGCAGCGTACGCTAATAAAAACAATTTAGCAGGAAAGGTGGGGCCCGGGGGCGTACGGCCAAGAGGACAGGCAACAGAAATGCTGAACCAGACAGCGCGCTGATGATTAAAACACATTAAAAATCCAGTAGCAGTAGCCCAGTAGTCGGCCAGCAACAGCAACAGCCACAGCCCAGATGATCACAGCGCGACAACGAGACAACTGAGGCCAACCACATACGAGATGGAGATCCAGTTGGAGATGACGAGAGGGCTGAAGAGAGTGATGTGCTGGCTGCAAAAGTTTGACGACTTTTTCCACACATCGTCACCGTTCTCGTCCTCGTCTCCGTCCTCGTCTCGTACATTTCAACTAATTTCATATTTTTGATGCAATTGCTGAAATTCCTCAGCCACAAAGAAGAGGGCTCACGCTCAAGCTCAGTTATTTAGCAGCAGCAGCAGCAGCAGCCTCAAAGCCACGCTGCCACTGGACCAACACATCATTTTGCTCAAGTATCTGTATCTGCGTTTGAATCAGTGCCACTGCGGTGTGCACGTTCGCTTTAAGTTGATGGCCGGGGCCGGGGACTACCTGTTGCGACGTGTTATTAGGCGACGTATTGACGACAAGCAAACGTCAACCCAAACGTCAGCTCATCATATCATCGACTCGATTGATGCGCGTCCTCAAGTCCAAGCCCAAGTCCAAGCCCAAGCACCGTCTAGAGTAACGTTTCCAGCGCGACAGCACATTTTTTGGGGCACAATCTGTGAGCAGAAACAGAAGCTGCTGTGCGCTTGTTCGGAATTTTGTAGTTTATGCAACCGAAAAATGTTTGTTGCCTCCCTCCTCCATCCTCTACCCTTACCACTACTTGTACGATTACCTTCCTCTCCATGGACTCACTTACTTTGCGCAGTCTGTCGAGGTGGTGGTGGTGGTGATATTTCGTAGTGTAAAATGCACTGGCACTGGACATACCTACCTTAATATTGTAGTATGCTCACCAACAACATTGTATGTGAATGCATAATAAGACTATGTATGGCCTGAATGCTTGGGTCTGGGCTGGAGATGTTCCTGTTCCTGTGCCTGTGCCGGGGCTGGCTGCGAGCGACGTGATTTTGCGCTTTAATGAGGATTATTAAATGCGAGATTATTATGTGCTGCAATTACTTTTCACAGCCACCGTACGCTTGCTTCCCTCATCCGTTTTTGGGTCGAGTCGGTTTGATTTATTTTATTGAACCATAAAAATGTAAATTTGCCATCTTGAACAAAAGACAAATTTAATCGTTGTCAATTATGTGTTCTCCGACAGCGTAATATTAAAATACATGCACAGTTCCCAAAGGAAAGTTGACCAATTCAGTTGGAGAGTTTTTGAAAGGACCTCGTAGACTTATTTTAATAGCGATAGCAATTTATAGTATAGACGCATTAATTATAACAAGAGAAGGATTATGTTGTTACAATGTAGAACTTGTTAGGTTAATCATTTAAATGTTTGTGTTAAGACGTGTTTGCCACAACTCCTGTTAAGTAAGATAATTCCTTTAATTATTATTATATTTTTTCTTTTTATCCTAAACAAGAATAGAAAGATTATACCTCTTAAGTATATAAAACTAAAATTTCTTTCTAAAATCTTTTAACTTGGTTTTGGTCTTAGGACTTAATAGATTTCCTTTGTATACCCCTACCAGCATGTATGTATTTGATTGCTTTGAGCCGTTGGCACTGCAGTTTCCGGTGCAGCGAGCGCCAAATATCTAAAGACGACGCATGATTTAAGTTTTGGGGAGCGGAGTGGGGTGCATTGGGCAAAGAGCACAGGAGCCTCCATTAACATAATCACAAGACAGACCAGTGTACTGGGACGAAGACTGACCATTGCCACCGAAAATTACCCAGCTCCAGCCGGCCGGGAAGATCAATTTTGAACCAAAATCACTGCAGGGCGATCAATTAAAATTTTGATCGAATTTTCGTCAATTTTTTGACATGCGGCTAACAGAAGCCGAGCCGAAGTTGATGCTGATGCTGATGGGTTAGTTCGGTTTGTGGTGCAGGACGCGTGTGGCAATAGCAACAACAACTGGTAACATGGACAATAACAGTAACATGGACATACGTGTAGTGAGGAGGCAAAAGCCCACTTTCTGAGGCAAGATCAATGTAAGCAGAAATTGTCGATGGCCGGAGGCAAAACTTCGCATTGGAAGTTCAGGGATGCAGCGAGACGGACGAATACTCGGGCGGTTGAATCAAGGAAAGGAAAGGAAAGGAATGGGAAGGGAGTGGGTAGAGACAGAGGCGTTCAATGGATGAAATTGATTAAAGCGTAAATGAATTTTTGCAGACTTAAATCGTTGGGCAGTGGGCGGGACGGTGACGGTGACGGCGACGGCGACGGCGGTATGCTGACGATGATTATAACATAAGATCGATTGCTGCTGTCGTTGATCGCTAACTCGACGCGGCTACTGTGGAAAGTGGACGGTGATGCATCTTCGTGTCTCTCTCTCTCTCTCCCTTCCTTTGTCCTCACATCTGCCTTGCTTCGCCAGACTTTATTAAGTTTTTGAACATGTTTTGCTGACTCGGTTTCAGGATCTCGCCACTTTTTGCCTCTTGCCTGCCATTTGACAAACTAGCCACAGGCAAGCATAGGTTATGCTTAGTCCAGCGTACAAGGCATTCCATCGGTAGCCTTCGACGTCGACGTCGACGTCGTCGCTGGCATCGTCTCGATTAACGTTTATCCACACGATCAGCGCAGATCCGAAATGCCACAATTTTGCTGATGGCTGAGCAAAAAGTGCGCTGAAATTCTTTGCGTGTTTGGCGCAGATCGCCCAATAAAGAATTCCATAAAAAGCTGCTGGTAAACGGTAGCCGTGGCTACGAGACACCATAATTAGCTATATGCTGCTCACTTCTGGAACAGAAATGTGGTTGAGTTCGCATAAAGCACGCAGCAGAAGTAGCAGTAGCAGCACCACCAGCAGCAGCAGCAGCAGCGAGGTCAGCAATCAAATGCCGTTGCGAATTTCGTTTTCCATTTTATTCCATTGCATTGGCTTCAGTTCATTATTAAGTAAGAAAGAAAGAAAAAAGCTTTTAATGGCACACAGTAAAAGAGCAACATTAATTTAGTTACGCTTCGGCGGACGAAAAGCTGCCAGCGGCAAACGATCGATCGCTAAGTCGCTGTCTTTGTTTTCGCCTCCCCCAATCACCCTGGGATTGAAAGATGTGTTGGCCAAGCCAAGCGCCGGAGTTGAGGGCCGCATCATTGAAGACAACTTCGTGATTCGCCACGATTTGTGCACAAATTACTTGCTAAATTATAGAAAGCAAATAAATCGGTCGGCATTGGCATCGGCATCAGCATCTGCCGTATATACTCGTATACAAGTATGTATAGTATATAGAAATCAACGCCTGTCAGCCAAATTGTGGCCGCACTTGTCTGCCATGGAATGGAGTTGGCACAGACTGAGCTGCTCTGCCTTTTGTCGACTTAATCAATAAAGAAAATTTAGGTTGTTTTCTTTGTCAGCGATATGCCAACGAGCAATGCTCGTTGTGTTTATTTTTAGAGAAGCAGAATGAAGTGAAATTTCACTTAAGCCGTCAATGTACGTATTTGTTCAACTGAACCATGCGCATTTAGCTCAACAAACAGACCAATAGACAGACAATACTTGTATATACTCTAGCACAATTCGTTCTGGTAACATTAAATTAATTCAACTCTCTCTCTCTCTCTCCTTCCCTGCTCTTGTATTTCGATTCTATAGAGTCAGGCGCTGGCGCTAACCCGCGCTGCCAATGCGGCAGCCGTCGTGGCCGCCGCCAATGCCAAGTCACCGTCGGCAGCTGCCAGTTTGGTGGACATGGCCGTCAAGAAAGAGCACTCTTTGTCGCCACCGCAGAGTGTTGTGGGCAGTGCTCTGAACATGGGCGTGCCTGCCGAAGAGGTGGTTGCCCAACAGCACAGACGCGCCTCCCTCCAGGGCGTGCAGGAGAAGCTCACTCAGCTGCAGATGCAGCATCAACAACAACAACAACAGCAGCAGCAACAACAACCACAGCAACAAGCGTCAGGTGAACAGTTGGCATCAGGAGGTCGTCGCTCAGCGGGTAACAGTCCACCCACACACATTCACAATTCAGATGGCGATCGTGGCGGCAATACGATGCCAACATCAGCAGCTTCTAGTCAAAATGCCTCGCTCGCTGCCACACCGAAGAGCGAACGAGAGCGAGAGCGGGAGCGCGAGGAGCGTACCAGCAATGTGGGTAGCATCTCCTGTCTGCCGCCCGCTGCCCTGGGCATGGGTGTCCAACAAGCTGAAAAGTTGCTCAATCACCCGGCATTGGAAACACGGCGAGACTTCGATGTCAGCAAAGTGAACCGTAAGTAAGATCTTCCCATTTAAGAATATATCACTTGGGTTTATCGTTTTTACTTTTGGTATAGTTTTATAAAATGTGATTGCCTAAATATTTTGTTGTCTTTAGCGAACGAGATATAAGTAGCATGTTTTAAATTTAAATCTGCTCGTATTTTGTAAATATAGATCGTCACTGATAGGAATCAGAGCGACAAATTGAGTAATAGGACTATTTTTCAAATATAAAAAGACGAATTTAAAAACATATACAACCATTTACTATATAGCTTGGATTCAAAAATCGCCAACCCCATTCGTATTTCCTTTAATTAATAAAATGTCTCGCTTGCTTGGTTTAATAAAAGCCTAGCGGGGAGCGTTTGCATGCATCGAAGTCAAAATCTTTTAATCCCTGTAATCTGAGACTGGGAATACAGACATAATGTGCCCTTCCCCTACTTCCTCTATTTCCATTGCTATGCACATATCCCATAATCCCGGGAGCTGTGGTCGTGGTGGTGGTGTTTTAATAATCCATACAGCGACGTCATTATAAAAACGTCAATGACATTTATAACCCTTTCCTCTGCGCCGAAGCAAATTTAAATATATATATATATATATATACAACTTTAAACCTTTGTGTGCGCAAATAATTATGTTTATGTGTGCATTTAAATAGCAATGGAGACTGAAGGTTTACGACTTAAGTACTTACTATTGCCATACTATATAGAACTTACACACACACACATTGTACGTTAGATTATTTGATTTGTCTGTCTAACTCGAGTCTCTGTGTTTAGTTCCATGGTTGCTGCTGTCCTTTCAAGTGGCCCATCTGCGCTAATCTTGTTTAGTTCACCAATAGTTCAGTCAATGATAAAGAGTGAAGCGCTCTGTTTATGTGCAGATACTTATGGTGCAGCTTCTGCATGCACGTTTATTTGTATTTCCGAGATAGATTTTCATAGCAACCTTTGCCACGTTCGGTTCGAATCCATTCAACTCTCTGGCACATTCGTATATGCAATGAAATCCTTTGGATTAAGCATATGGAGCATTCATAACGTTTATTTTACCTTCAATGCATCGGTCTGGGTCTCGTTGTGCAAACAGCCCAACACTCACACACACATACACATGGGCCGAGAATACAAGAAGAGGATGTGGACGAAAGGCGGCTATGGGTGGGTGGGCTTGACTGCTTGAATGTGAAGCGTGACAGCAAATGAACGTCAAAACACTTGTGGATCATCCGTTGGGGGAGCTGGTTGAATGAGCTTTTGGAATGGGAGATGGATGTAACCATACAAAAGCAAAGCGTGTTTGTTGGTTTGTTAACAATCCGCCCACATGGCGTATACATGACGAATATTTTCTGTGCAACAAGTTGCTGGCTCCGTCGGCTGGTGGTATTGGACCATTTAAAGTTTTTAAATACCGATTAAATAGTTTGTGTTTAAAATAAAAAGAACATTTATAGTATGTACTTAGCTTTAGGGCTAGATTTGGAAAATCGAAAGCTACTTTGCAAAGTTAATTCAATGCAGGGACCTCTTTTATTTATTTTGATAAATTTGCATTTGAATATTAATTTTAAAATACTTTATATTTAATATATCAAGAAATTAATTTTAGAACGGGTTATATATTTTCAGTTGTAGTGGAGGCCCCGACACTGAAAATTAATAAGAAATGTGTATAGTTGTTTTTAAAAGTAATATTTGTGAATGTGAAGCTATTTTTCCTGCTTCAGCAGTATAACTTGTTTCTTGAGAAAACACTCACATGTGAAACCAATGCGAGTTCTCAAATACACATCCAGAAGCTGTGTAGTTCTACACTGTTGGTATCATAAAATGCAGCTTTTTGGAATGGGGCTTTTGGGAATCATGCACAGGATATGGGGCTACATTACATCGTTTTGAAACACTTACACCTCTAACTGCCCCACTTTGCAGTCTAGGATCTTAAATTGTTTTGGAGCTTAAAGAGAACTTTTGCTCAGCAGACAGAAATGTTAAATGTGCACGAGCTGAGCTCGAAATGTGCGTTAGAATTAGAATTTGCTTGAATTTGTAAATGGGTTACAGTTGCACATACGAATGTGTGTCTTTCTGTCTGTCCGCTTGTTGTTATGTGTCTGTATCGGTCTATAAAGGTGCCAATACCAGTCCCCAATACCAGTGTGAGCGTGTGTGTGTGTGTCTGCAGTATTTTGTAGCATATTTTGAGGATTTGCGTAACAAACTGATATCATCGAGAGGCTGTGGTTATAGCTGAGGCTCAGACTGTTGTTCTCGTTGTTGTTATCGATGTCATTTGACATTACCATTTCATACACAGCTGCATGTTTGTGCTTATGAGTATATGTATGTGAGTTCATATGTAAATCCGTTTGGTTGTTTATATGTACATAGTATATATACATATACATATCTATACAAGTATATGTCTGTTCAAAGCGCCTAAGCTGCTATGCGACGCAACACGATATTTATCTCACACACACACAAACCAATACCATTACATTCGATACAGCTGTGAACAGAGAATATATAGTTGGCATTGCGACTATTTTGGAACATTTTTAGTCTCATATTTGGTTTCATTCGAGTCATTCGATTTATGCAGCGTTTAGTATGCAAAATTTTCATACGTTAGCCTTAATAAATCCCCTTTGCCATCGATGACCGCTCTTGTCAATATGCAAGGTTCCCCAACCCGCTCCCCCTCCCACTCCAACTCCCTCTCCAACTCCCTCACTTGCCCAACAGTCGCTGACACTGACACCTACACATAAGCTTATGCACACGCACACACACACGTGCCAGCATGTGTTTCTACATACACATGTATACATCTATCCATAAGTGTGTGGGTGTGTGTGTGTGTGTGTCGCCGTGCTCTGCAATTGAAAATCACTGTGCCTTAGTTAACGACACGTTTGTGGATCAACGCGTTCCCGTACCCCAATCCCAGTCCCAGTCCCAGTTCCAATACGAGTCCGAGTCCAGCTCCCCAGCCAACAACAATATTACTGCCGGTACTTGTATTGTTTTTGTTGTTTATTGTCACACAAGTTGCCGTTATATTGTTGTTCTTGTTGTTGTTGCCTTTGCAGTTGCAGTTGGCATCGCTAACGGTGTCCATTTTGGCCTCCGAATTTAATTCGCTGCTCGTGCTGTTGGCATTGTTGTAGTTATTGCCAGCAGGAGCAGCTGTTATAAGCCAGGCAGGCGGCTATGTATACATAAGCAGACGGAAGGATCAAAAATGCGCGTACGCTTGCAGAGCTAATATGCATATTACCGCTGCAGACTTTGGCCCATTGGATTATGCATTCATTTCTATTGCACTTGCTTTGCCTGTTGGACCCCCTATCGATATATGTTCATTGAAGGAGGCTGTTTCAAATATTGATTCCTTAATTAATTGCCTTTTCAAGAAGGTCTAACCTTTTGCATATAGAATTATATATACCTGGCAAGTATTTGTTTTTATTGTTTTTTAGTTAAATAAATGATTTATTTGCTGAAGTGAGAAAAGCCTTATTCGTAAAATAAAATATATACGATTTTGGGAATGTGTAACTTCTGTGGCGGATTTAGAAACAGTTCTGCCCATATACGAGTATAAACAAAGTAAGCAATTGATTTAGATTGTTTCCTTAAGAAATTTGTAGCTTATACAAATGTGAATTCTCAATTGACAATTTATTTTAAAGCACATTCCAATTTTACATTTTTAAAGCCAATCCACATATGTATATGGTAGATGGCCGTAATTTAAAAATGAAAATAAAGTCCAAATATCGCATACAGTCAATTGTTTTGCTTCTGAGGCATTTGACTATATCTAATTTGTTGTGGGAATAGATTTCAAATCGACTTTAGCAGAACTTCTGCTATGTAATATTGTAAATAACAAAAAAAAATTGAAAATACAATTAAAGAAAAAATAACAAGTTATGGCTTTAGACTGGCATTTATAACTTTCTTAGGCTCAAGGATGGTTGTTTATTCATTCTACTAATACGACCTATTTATTTATTAGGGTCTATTACGAACTAACACTTTCAATATCGCCTCACAATCAGATGGCTCCTCTTCCAGATTCTAATAGTGGAACGTGTGTGGGGTGCTGCACGTCTAGGCAATGTGTTAGCTCACCAAAAGTGTCTCACACTTAACAGGACACATACGTGTAATAGTGCAAAATCAAGCGATGTAGACTATAGCAATGGGCGGAGATAAGAGCAGAGGCGGGAAGTCAGTTACGGGGCTGGTGGTCGAATAACAGACGAACAAGTTTCGCAATAACACGCCGAGCTAGCTGGTGCATACCAGCATGGATATCAGCGAGTGTGGATGTGGGTCTTTGTGGGTGTTCACATGATGAACACAGTACAGTTAGCTAAGCCGATGGCTGGACATCGTGCGGGCTTGGGGTGCGCTCAGAGCTTAAGTGTTAAGCGTTATGCACAGAGACCAGCACCAGGAACAGCACTGAATAGTATTGAGTAGAGCAGAGCGTATCAGATCCCATTTTCATTGGCGGCGAGGAACCATAGACGGGCACAAATTTTAAGTTTGCTGCAGAGGATTTGTGCCACCCAGCAATGTGATGCATAATACTACGTATATGTCGCATGGAGAGCCACGCACTTGCATTGCACATCTCAGTGACATGGGCGGAGGGGTCAGGCGGCACTGCAAAAGCAATGCCGGCTGTGTGTGAGTGAGAACGCATAGATTCAGATACAAATTCAAATAAATGCTAAAAGCAACAGGAGGGAAAATGTTCGAATTATAAGCAAAAAGGGATTTGCGAAACAAAAAAGCTTCACACACACAAACACACACACACAAGCACACACAAACACATACAACCGCACACAACAAAAATCTAGTGGATTTAACCGAAGCAGCAGGCGTTGGCACATGTTGGAGACGATGCTGATTGTGTTAAGCCAGCATCATATGTTCCTACGCATGCACTGTGAGAAATAGAGTCAAC